TCCCTGAAGGCCTAGAGATTGCATACGTAATAAGCATGTTACCCTTGCAAAAAGTAAGGCTTATAGTCCATTTTGTTTATTGTATTTATTGAATGGAGTCATTGCTTGATCTCCTCCTGGGAGCATTAACAGACTTGAAAGAAAATACTAAAGGAAGGAAAAAGGATATACACACACATACACATCCCCATATACATATATATGAAACATACATGCATATATGTGAAAGACCATGTCACTGAGGTTTCTAAAGTGAATGTGCAACACTGAAGAGAGGCACAAGGCTCACTTCCTTAGGCACCCTCTGCTCCTTTAAGCCCATTGCTCAGTTTCCCAGCAGTTTCATTTTTTACAGCCACCCAGAGGGACATCTGCCCAGAGTCAGTCCTTCCACCTCTTCCCAACTGCCCAGCCATGGGACCATGGACAGCTCCTGATTTTAATTCTGGCTATCAGAACTTGTATCAACTTTGAATTAGCCTTGCAATCATCATGTATTTCAAGCTCTCCTTAAAAACTTTTAGACCCCAAGAGGTCTCTAAAACCTTTGCTAAAGACCTTCCTAGAATTGGGCCAGTCATTAAAAAAAAATCATACATTCATTCAGGAATTTCAGGACTGTAGACCCGAGGCATTTATTCCCATGTCCTTCAGTTTTTCAACCTATTTTTAGCCCACTCATTACATTTCTTTGTAAATATTACTTTCACAAATTTGTAAGTAGAAGAAAAAGATCTAAAACAAATTTAATTAATTGCCATCAAATGTCTTGAAAGCTGTTCTTTTTTTTTTTTCGTCTGTGTATGTGTGCATGCACGTGAGACTTTGTTTTAAGGAACTGAAATATGTTCTTTATGTTCTGTGGACAAATTTCTTTCTTTATTCTTTGACAGTTTTGCATGCATATGGATTACACTTCAGTGATTTGTACCTGTAGCAATTTCTCTCATGCCCTCTTTCATCTGATGAGACCCAACTTCCTCTCCAGAAGTCTCCATCTAACTTTCATATTGTGTGTGCGTGTGTGTGTGTGTGTGCATGCACATGCATGCCTATGTGTGTCCCCCTTTAATCCGTGTTGTTGGTGAACCCATGGGCATGAGATGCTTTACTGAAGCACAGGCTACTTTCCAGAGTGCACAACACTGAAGAAAAAGACTCCCTCATCTTCATCAAACACTAACTGCTAATAGTTCCCTCAAGAATGGGTGGGGACTCAGGTGTCTCTCTGGGATCCCCATCATGTAAATTTTGCCACAACTGGATTGTTTCTCTTAAGAGCGAAATTATGGGTCTTTGTGACGTCCGCAGCTAACAGAGAGTTTTTGCGTGTGACTTAGGCATTCTCTGTAAATGCCACTGTGACAGAAGGGATAAGAAATGAATATAGTGGGTCATAAATTACAAAACAAGTGTTTACGACAGACAGATTAATAATGTAGGGGTGGAAACTGGAGTCAATAGGTCTTACGTGTGCTAACTTAAGTTGAGAGGTAACATTTTACAATAAATGAATGAATTTTGTTTAATGGTAACCTCCTAAATTGTCCCCGCATTAAAGAAGACTCTTCCTTGCCTTGGGATTCATATTTCCAGTCACAGTTCACAACAGGAAGTACCTGCACCTGCTGTACTCTCCTGAAGGTGCAGATGCACTGCGCCATCCTTTGCCAAGAGGGCTCACATGATAACATATCAGTGTCCCGCACACCCACTCCATGTAGCTTTATGTACCAAGATCCAGGTTTATGACAGATAATAAAATCAACTTAACATTCCTGTCTTCAAACTCAAAGTGCATTATAAAAATTACAAATCTTCTAACTGATAAGAGGGAACAAGTATTATCCTTATTTATTTTTGGTGCAAGTGAAGGGGGGCATGCGTTTCTTAATGTCTTTCTTAATGCTAGGTTAATTTTTCTATAATTTCTTTCTATTTCATAGACAAGGTTTTTCTTTTCTTTTCTTCCTTTCTGGATTTTCCAACAAAGTAACTGCAAGTAGGATTATTCTGAAGGAAAAAAAAAGGAAAAGAAAAGAAAAAAGAAACCCCATGGATATTTTTATGTCCCCAAGGTGAAGAAACTGCCTAAGGGAGTCAAGAATACAGATACGAGATTTTTCCAGTGTGTGCCGCACTGCATCCTTAAGGAGGCAATTAGTTATTCTTGTGTATCAGTGATTGTCCCATTTTCTCTACAACTCAGGTGACACAAAGAGCCTTCCAGAAGCTGTATTTTAAGTGGAACATTTATTACTGAAAAAAAAAGTACGATTCTAATTTAAAGTCTTTGGGAAAGTCCTTTGTACAAATGCCGTCAAATTTCACACAGTACCAGCTGTTCTCAACCCTCATTGTCATTTCCAGCCAAGCCATCATTAGCTGTGAGCCGGAGTTAAAGAGCCCGATAAGTGTCCCTGAACCTGAGGGTTTTATCTATTTAAAGTAACCCTGCTCAACCTAGCACAATGGTAACTACAGACACAATACAGAGCTAAGAGTAGTGCAAACTCCGTAGCATCTATACCTCAAACAATATCACAATAAATAAATAACATTAGGGAGAGTTTCAGTGTGCTTGGGACTGTCAGGCTGTTCCGTGGGCTATTTGTGTCTCAACGGCATGTGGGAAACAAGCAACACCCATCTAAGAAAGACAACCGACAAACTCAGGGGTTTTTATGACATGGTTTTGAAGGTTAAATTCACACGTGCAAATCAAGAGAAGGATGTGGGGTCCCAAAAGCTGTCATTCCTTGTTTACTATGCTTAACAAAATCACAATTATGGTATTAAAAAGAAGCTTTTGAATAAACTTGAAATATCTTTATAGTGCAAGATCGCACCTTACAAAAGACATTACAATGTACTTTGTAGCACCATGGAAAAACCTTCCTGCTCATGCATCCTTACCATTTAAAAGGAAATTGGAGGTCTTCCTCCTCACAGCTCAGATTTTTTTGTTACTTGCCTTCAAGAGAGGCATACCTAAGAGATTATTGATTTGGTTCTGAAGGACAATGTGTTTATTATGGAGGAAGCCACGGCTGGGTACAAGTGCGAGAAGTTAATGATGGCTTTGTGAGTGTCCACGCTGTGGTGTGGAACCGGTGGGCAACTGTCAATCTATATGATAATACATTCCCAAACTTCATAAAGTCGGTGATGTGAAAAAGCATTGATTTCTCTGTGAGCAAAACAGAAAGCTCAGAGAGAAAGAGCAAGAAGTTCCACAGAGTTAACATCCCAGCCTTCAGGTTTCCTTGAGCCTCAACTTGCATATCTTGAAAAATTTGTGCTTTATAGCATATGCAATATCTTTTGTCCAAAAAATGAGAGGAAAAAGGAGCATTAAATATATACTTAGCATGTGTGAAATTTTTAATGACTCCTTGAAAGGGGAAAGAAAAGGCCATTTATCTATATGTTTTAGAACACCATCGTCTAGCTCAAGGTCTGCTTCAGTACAACCGTTAGAATTTGCCGAGTGCACTCTTCTATAGAAATGAGTAGTGTCTTTAAGTATATTTTTCTTTATGAAATTCTGATTGCATTATAACTGGCATCAAAGGAAAAGAATCAAGACATTGTAGCAAAAAGTTTTAGTTCCCATCAGTATTCGGGGACGTGGGGGTACTTGCCCTGAGTAAAAAAACGCTCAGGCGTCTTGCGTTCCATCAATGCTGGCTAAAAGGATGACTCCTTGTCTATCAAATACGCAATTACTTAATTACAAAAATTTTCCACAGCAGTTCTAGTTAATTCAAGACAAGTAGGGTTTTTTTTTTCTATTTTTTATTTTTGTTGTTCACACAGCTTCAGCAGAAATCTCCTCCTTTTGCTTGAGGAGATTTTCAAGAACTATGTATAAATAACTTCAGAGGGTGGCGAGTCTATGAATACGAGCAAAGAGCACAATGTGGATGGCTCCCTGGATAGCTGCGAGAAGGCCAACCATGGGAGCTTTGCACAAATGCCTTACTTAAAACACGCCGCCATGTCTTGGATTGCAGTGATTTTGTGTAGTAGACACCCAAACTGCTTCCGTTTAAATAGTACCTGACACAAGCCAAAGTTTAAAAGGAACATCAGTACATGGGTTTGATGTATATCTTCATGGAAACTTCTCAGAATAATCTCTTAGCCGATAATCCCCTCGGAGTGTTGGATGTGCCAACAGCAAGGATTCCGCTAAGAATTCTGAAGGAATCAAGTGCAAATTTTCCATGAGTTTTCGTATTGACGAGCTACAGGCTCGGAGCAGTAAAGACACATCATCTCATCTCCAATGTAGAATAAACTATTTCGAAATTAAAAGTAAACTTCAGTGCAACAAAGTCACATCCTTTTTAATACGCATGAATCACGCAGGAAACGGTATACCTCCAACAAAATTGTGAGAGTTAATGATATTTTAGCTATGCGTTTACATTCACAATGAACCGCCCGCCTGGAAATTTCTTTTTTTCTTTTTTCTCTTTTCAATGAAAGAAGACACTTAAACCTTCTCTAACAGAAGTTTCCAAGATTTCACACAAACATTCTTAACTGATATGTTTGCAAACATTTTAATGGCAATTCTTTTAGCAAAGAGGCTTTCTATTCATAACACAGACAACATTTGAGATTTCCTTCAGAAGTCAGCTGTACCTAAAGTAATTTATCGTTTCCTTACAAAGTGTTTTTGAGTAAGCACAGTTCTGAGCCATGTAGAAATCCACAAATAAACACCTTATCTCTTTAATGGCTTCGTGCAGGTTTGCCCGTATTCGCTGCTTAATGACCAGAAGCATTTAGTTCTCAAGGTTTCATTAAAAGTCACCCCCAAAGCTGATGGATGGCCACAGTGATTTGTGATGGAAGATGCGGGAAGCCATTAACCTATATAGATACCAAGAGGGAAAGGAAACACAGAGGAGAAGCCTGCTTGGAAGACAAGACACTTCCTATCTGTCATTATTAAACCCCAGATTATGGGCTCCAAGTTCGATCTTCAATAAGGATATGAGGCACTGTCTGGAAATGAAAGGGGAAGACAAGATAGGGTTCTTCACTGACCATCTTGGGGGATAAAAAGCAAAAACACAAAAATGTCAAAAGCAAACCTAGATTGCTATTACTGGGAAATGGAATCAATACCGAGACCTAGAAATTTGGGGAAGCAGACATTTTTAAAGTGTATCAGGCCTCCTCGTTTGCCCGGTTATTTACTTGCTAATAAGAACCAGATGACTACACTTGAATACTGGGTTACCATTAAAATGTGCTTTTAAAAAAAGATCTCATCTCCTTTGTGGGCTGGAAGGTATCTCGTTTATTTTGTTCCCGGCTCGGCCTGGAGAGACAAGGTTGATTAAATCTCTTACAAACAAACGCAAACAAGAAGGAACCCCAAGTCCCCACACCAGGATGTACAGAGCATGCCAACGTAGTTCAGAACCGGCCTACCGTTGTCGTCATCCGACTTGTTTTCATTGTCCGAGTCAGTCAGAGTAAGGGCTGAGTTCTCGCGGCTGGACAGACCGGAGCTGCGTCTGGACTTGATCCCTCGTCCCCACAGTCTGATGGCGTGTTCTGGAGACATTCCTCCCTCGGTGTCCGAGTCGGCATCAGACCCAGTGCTCAGGGAGTAGCCCTGGTGGAGGATCCCCATGTCGGAACAGTAACCAGTTCGGTGAGGGGAGGGCTCGCAAATCCCCAACTCCGCCAGGGTGAAGTTAGTCCCTAGAGCGACAGCGACACAGAGAGGTTTTACTCTGTGGGAATACTGGCCAACCTTGAAGTTCATCCCACAAGTCCAACAGATGTATCTGACTCTTTATAAGACACAAATAAAGGCTCGGACAGGGGTGCTCAGTGGCTATTGGGATATGTTGGAAAGACACAAAAATAGCAATCAGTTTAGCACAGGGCTCTCAGACTTGATTTCAGGGATCATCTAACACCACTGGGAGCCATCCAAGCACTGCTTGCTACAACTAATAAATATCAAATATTTACTTGGGTACCATTTATTTGGTAAATTTTGTTTGCATTAAAAAATCATAATTTTTACAGATAATGTTATTGAGATTTACTTTATACACAGGAAACCAAGACCAGAGAGTTTAAAGGACTCATTCAATGTCACTCATTTACATGGTAACAAAACCCAAATCTGATCCCCAAGCAATGTGTCTCCATGCCTTCAAGGTCTTTCTCTAATAAATATGAGTGTTGGCTTGAAGACCTTGGTGGTCCTCTGGTCACTGCTTCTTCAGGTGGTAATTTCTTCTTTGTCGGTTGTAGGCAACACACCTATATCTGGCTATTAATGCCTAAAATTCCTCTCAGGAACATGATCTTACTCAAAAAATAGCATGTTTATTTGCTCGTTTATTCAATGTGTTTGATCATTGGTTCCTTATTTTACAAACGTGTTACTGTTAGAACCTGAAGAGTAGAGAGTTGGAACTGCCATTCCTAAATTATATTACAAAATTTTTGTTTGATAATACTGCTCAAAACCACCAGCAGGCTTCACCATGAAAGACAAATGGGTGTTCACGTCAGGCGTGTGAGGTTGGGGATACAGGTTGATGAGCCGCAAAGAGGAGGGGTGTTGGTTGAACATGTGCATGACGATTCACTGTGAAACAGGCCAGGTGATTTGTAAGTCTCATCTCACTTAAACGTACAATGGACCAGTTGTTTGTCTCCTCACAAGCACACAAAGAGAAAGGCTGTAGTTAAAGTTGTCACTGGGAACACTGCAGACCCAGGGCTCTTCATGTGTCTGGATCCCTAGCCTGTGTTCTTTCCATCAGTCAAAAGTCACATTCAAAAGCTCACCTGGAAAGATCTTTTTGATTTTTTTTACACTAAATGCTATGGCTATTTTATGCTTATTAATTCATAAGTTTCATGAGTAGATAGAATCATATCTGTATGTATTGATAGAAATATGATTTCTTCTGTCTTTATTATTGTTTAGTATTGGGTTTTGAGAAGCAGTTTTCCTGTGTAGCTCAGGCTAACCATAGACTTGCAAAACTCCTGTTTCAGCCACCACTGTGCTAGGAGGTCTGGGCGAAAATTTTTGATTCGGTTTCTTTTGTTTTTATTTAGTTTATGACCACAGGCAAAGGCTGTGAAGAAATGCCCTTTTGTAATAACAGTAGAGAAAATCTTGTAAGTAATGCCATCATTGGGGAAATTTAACCATTTCCGCATAGGCCATTCTCTATCATTCATTACTAGAAATTTGTGATAAAGCTTGACACCCTAAAGTAATTCACATATATGCTATAATTTCTTAGCTTTGAAGCTAAAGAAGAATAATTTTATGAACTTAGCGAGCTTCTAATTTGTAACAGATACATGTACTTTTATTCTAAATTTTTACTTTTTTTTCTTCACTACACAATGCTGCTGTGGGATTCCTCTCTGTATGCTGTGAATAGGTTTTATTAGCATTGGTTAATAAAGAAGCTCCATTGGCTGATAGCAGGGCAAATTATAACCAGGCTGGAAGAGATATATAGAGAAAGTAGGTAGAGTCAGAGAGATGCCATGTAGCTGCCGAAGGAGAAAGATGCAAGCCAGGAGCCAGAAGCTTACTGGTAAACCACAAGCCTCGTGGTAAAATACAAAATAATAAAAGTGGGTTAATTTAAGATATAAGAGCTAACTAGAAATATGCCTAAGCAATTGGCCAAGCATTACTTAATTAATACAGTTTCTGTGTGATTATTTTGGGTTTATATTGGTTTATATTATTTTGTGATTATATTGGGCACAATGTTACCCAATAGGTATATTTGACTGTGTGAAGGAAATGAAACAGAATTCTATACATAACTGTCTATGCAGGGCAAGCCTTGGTCCTTGGAGAATTAACCAAGTACAAATTCCTGCCACATAGGGTGATCATCCACTACTCATGAGGGGAGATGGAATCTCTTACTTATAGGTCTGAGGGTTGCTATCTTCTCGAAGGCTATTTGTCAGCTGTTGTGAAATTCTCTGCCAAGTGTTTCCCATTCCACTTTTCAACATGATTAGGTATTTTCTTGTCACTGGATGGTAGCATGCAAGTTTGAGTCTCACAGTGTGTGAAAGAGAAGATACTGGCTTCATCTATATCCCAGTGTTACAAGACCCCTTCCTCCGTTGTTGCATTCCACACTCTGTAGTAACTAGAATTATCTGTTTACATGACAGCCTTCCGTCTTGTCTTTAGAGCTAATGAAATAGATTCCTCCATGTTCCCGGAATAAATAAAAACAACCTAAACTCAAATACACTGCTGTGTGTGTGTGTGTGTGTGTGTGTGTGTGTGTGTGTGTGTATTTAGCAGTCTGTTCCCACTTTTAAATAGAGTATGTATTAGGGCGACTTTGTGTATAATTCTATTATTTAGGCTGAGATAAAAAGAACTTTGAAGAAAAAGAAGCAACTATTCAAGAAAATGATGCCTGCATTGACAGCAGCACAGGTGCCCTGTGGTCTTAGTGGTAGTGTACCAAACGTTAAGTAAGCCCAGGCCAAGAGTAATAGTGGAAAAATCACAGCATCCCTTCTTGGCTTATAAAACATAACAGAAAACAAATTAAAATTACCCTTTCTTACCCTATACTGAACTTGGGGCCATCGTGGGCCTTCTATAAATTTTATAAGATTTAAAGTAGTCATAAATGGTAACAAAGAGAAAGCCTATTTTTAAGTTTTCATCTTTGAGCTTGAAGCTTCTTGCCAATGAATACCAATGCAGACAATTGCATTGCCATATTCAACTCAGAAGGAAAAGGCATATGAATAACTCCATTATTATTAGGAGAACTGAAGATCTTCTGCTACAAAAGAAAAGTATTTCCTCAATAAATTACCCCCTAGAGAAATAGTCTTCCTCAGGGAAGAATATACCAATTGTCTGTCCAATACAAAATGGCCATCCCTGAAATCATGCATACAAGTAATATTATGCAGACAGAGCAGTTATATTTAGGAATATAGATACATATACATATATGCATGTACCAACAGTTAACAAAAAAAGATGACATGGATTTGAAAGAGGGGAAAGAAAGGTTTGTGGAAGGATTTGACGGAAGAAAATGGAACGGAGAAATTATATAATTATATTAAAATTCAACGTAAAAGAGAAGTCAACAAAATAACACCCGAAACTTCTCTTTGACTATCTTCCCTCTCCAATGTCAGCTTCTACATAATTCCTAGGTTATTATCTGTTTACCATTAATTCACAAATAGGGGTTTCATTCTAATTATCAGAGGCAGATTCTAGGTCAAGCCTCTCTCAGAATCTTTGGTTTACCACACGAAGCCGGTGAGCCACACATAGTAGAATGAGAGGGACAAAACCTGCTCTATCATTTATTAAATGATTATTTATTGTTCCTTCTGCTATGGTAGACATTGGGGACATAACATTGAGCACTGTAAAAATAGAGTTCTTTGACATTTATAGTCTAATCGGGAAAGAGACATTAATCAAAGAATCACATAAAATGCAATTTATGCAGTAATAAACACCCTACAGAGAAAGGGCAGAGAACCATGAAAGGTCACCTAGGGTCCAGTTCTTCCTTTCTTCACAGTTTGTTTGGTTAGATGCTCATGTATGTGGAGTGAAGGCTTGGAGAGATAAGCATCTCTCTACTGAGAAGTTATCAAGACTTCTTCAGCCTGCTCTGTCCGTACCCAGGTTTTCTGTACATTGTTCTGTAGGTGTTGATATTAGACAACCATGTTTTATGTCATTCGTCTTATAGCTTGCAACCCTGCGTTATGTACTTTTGCTCAGAACTAGAAAGACTATGGGGGATTATTACAATAATATCAACTTGTTACTTTGATGTCCTTTGCTCATTGATAGAAGAGTGATTTTGCTCTAATTCATCTTGTGTGATTATGCATTTCTTAAAGTCCATGGTAGCTTTGAACGAAAGAGAGAGACTAGCCATTGTGTGACTCTCTGAGCTAAGTTTTGGTTGGAAGTAGTCAATCCTTTGTTCCTTTTTATAACCTTGTAGAAAGAGAAAGTGGAAGCACATTCCCTCCCATATTTATAGAAAACATGTTTTCCCTGTATTTGCCTCTAGTTTCCTAGTGTTAGTAATAAAACCAGATATGCAGGATCTGGCCAGCTCATTTCATCTCACATATACATTTCATAGATTGACCACTAAATCCACCAGTACGGCCCCACCTGATCGAAGACTAGACTCAACATTTTTCCAGATGAATAGTGAAGCAGTACCTACGATATTTTATATTTGACAATTTGGGTAAAATTTAAAATACAGATATTAAAAATTGTGTAAGACCTATTAGTTCATCATAGTGAAGAAACACAAGGCTTTCAAATAACCTTCTTAATGAGATGTGTGGACCTTTTAGTGGCCTTTAGAAAAAAAAAAACATACCCCAGTTCTTCACAACGCTTTCAGAGAGAAATCTAGTAACAGGTACTGACAGCTGTCCTTTGACCCACTAATTATACTCAAGGATGCAAGTTGGAGGAAAGATATGTCCATGCATTCTGGTTGTGGCTTTATTTTCTAAGTTTTCGCCAACTTCTCACACTTCAAAATAACCTTTAAGGAGGAGAAGTACATGCTTAGCTAAGTCAGAATTATCATGCCATGGTAATACCAGAATATACAAATAGCACTGGAAATGTCAGCATTGAAACAGATTTTTTTTTTACTATGAGGGGCAAG